CATTACCATTTTTTTTTTTTTTTTTCCCCCCCCCCCTCCCGCCCCCAAAAAAAAACCCCCCCCCCCCCCCCGTTTTCGCTGCATGTGGAAAGAACCAGGTGGACTGAACAGAACAGTATTTATTTTTGGGCTCGCTGTTTGCTTAACCACCTAACATGTGCAGGGGTATTTTCCTTTCCTCAGACGTACCTCGGGTCAAGCACAAAACATGTAACGCTTCTACTCTCTCTCTCTCTTTTTTTTTTTTAAGAGAAGTTCACAATCACACAGATGCTTTGAGTCTCTGCTTTATCAGCAGAGGGCCAGGACAATCTGTCACAAAACTTCCAACGTGGGAAAAACACAATGAGTTCTGACGAGAGAAATGAAGGACAAATATTTCTGGGACTATTTCAGCACTAGGCAAAAAGAAGATTAACAAGCATTGAGTGTGTAGATTAAGGGGGGGGGGATCCTTCACATTTTCAGTAGTGGTATACTTACTGTAGTAGTTTTCTGAAGGAAAACAACAACAGCAGCACCTCAGTCCACTGTGTCAATGAGACACATGGACTAAATTTACCCACAATCCCCTGCACACTTGGTCATATTGAAATACAGAAAGAGGTTACAATATAGGTTGTAATGTCTTTTCCTAAAAAGAATGTAGAAAGTGTGACAGGCCTTCGTAGCTATTAAGTCTGAATATATGGTCATTGATACAGTCTCCAAATATGAATTTATGTGAATTTATAGATCAAAAGATTTATGTGGCAATATAAATCTTACACAAAGCCAGATAAAAATCTCATATTTGTGGATTTATACTTGTTAAAACTGTTACAATGTTGTGACAGTATAATATGAGACGGATCATCTGTGAAAACATGAAGCTCCTCTACCTCCTCCCAGTGCGATTATTGCCGTCTGAAGAAATGCACCACCCCCACTCAGGAACAGTCAGGGCCAAGAGGAGGGTCTTAATGCTGTCAGTTATGCTCATGTATGTGCTGCTCAGCGTACTAACGGTGGAGACAGAACTAGAGCGTTCCAGCGTTTTATCCGCCATCCTCGGTTGCCATACTTACTATCCTAAACCTTCATGGTGGTGTGTCTGGGTCGGTGTGGATCAGCACCCTGTGCCTCTGTTCCCTGGGGCTGCTGGGACCTTCCACCATCCTCACCACTCCAACGGTCAGTCTGGATTTAATGAAGTTTATCAGACAGTTAGGATGTGGACTTAAGATGTCATTTTTATAGAGAATATTTGCCCCTGGCACTTGTAGACAACCATCTTCTCAGTATGATATGCCTGCAATGCCAAAGACATGACACATGTAAAGCACAATAATTACAAATAAATTGTTCCAGTTTGCAACAACTATTTCCTCGAGGCAGTTTTCAAAACAAATAAAAAAAATTCAAAGAAAATTTCTCTGCATTCAGAAATTTGTAGTCCATTCAAACCGTACAGATAATTTCAAAGTCAACTATGACTTAAGAAAATCCAGCAGATTAAATCAAGTCACTGACTTCCTGTTGAATGAGCATGTGGCGACAGTGGCCCGTGGTTGCATCATGTTCTTCGCTGTGCAGCAGCAATCTGACACACAGCGTTAGCGACAGCGCGGTGCGTAGCAGAGAGACGGAGCTACAGGGACAAAAACACTGAAACCTTTCAAACACGCGTCCAAAGCCGTATGCCTCTGGGACTGACCCGGCTCGCGGCACGTCGCCAGTCTCTAAAACTCGACTGAAAACTTCCAAAACGGCAGCGCAGGAAAAACAGAGGAAGACCAAAAACAAACAGTGTATTAAGAACAAATCAACACGGTCATTAGCTGTGTTTTGACACAGGCTGTTTGTTCTTCTCTCCATGGCCACCACTCCGTAATTCTGGAGAGAAAAACTGTTGTGGCACACGGCGATGACACATGTTAATGGGTTTGTTTTTCTTCAGCTGGAAAAGAAGGAGATGACGGCGCCCTTCAAACCTCAAATCTCTGATGAGTACGGCCTGGAAAATTTTGACACGCAGTTTACCAACGAACCAGTGCAGCTAACACCAGACGACGAGTGAGTACTGCTCCTTCTCTGCTCCTTCTCTGCTCATATGAAGTGTCTGTAGTTCTAATTAATGCCGTGAAAAAGTATGTGCTCCCCCTTACGTATTTGTTCCTTGCAATTTGTTGCACTGAAATGTTACCTGTTATCTAACAGATGTTACTCTTTGACTAAGATAACGTGTAAAGGTAAAAGCAGATTTAGTAAAAAAAAAAAAATCCTCATAAATTCCCCGCTAAAGTAATGAATGTGTTCAGTTTCTCCCACAGTCCCTGCATGAACTATTTTGCATGAATTCGTCATGCTTGTATGTGATGCATTTGGAAAAATAAAGGTCAAGTGCTGCAGTTACCATACTGATTGTGCCATTCGGGCCATTTATTTTCATACATTTATCTCCTGGCCACTTTAACTAAATAACTGAATTTTAATATGACTAAATTTGTCATCAAAATGCTCTCTTCTACATATTTTCCTGCTTTAGCTGTCAGAAAGGAATGAATGCTTGGCTGGATAGCAGCCCAGTAGGACAACCTGTTTAATAGGAGACTCTTAAAGGAGAATTAAGTCAGTTTTTGTCTGAAATAAATTATTGATTTTGTTTAAGCATGTCAGCTGACAACAGTTTTCTATATTCGAAGCAGCCTGTGCTGTTAGCACACCTGTAGCTACTTGCTACCGTGGCTGAAGGAGAAGGTATAGAGACTGAAGGCCAGAGCTCACACACTGAGTTCACACACTGAGTTCACACACTGAGTTCACACACTGAGTTCACACACTGAGTTCACACACTGAGTTCACACACTGAGTTCACACACTGTACCTACAGACCTGGGGGGCAGAAACAATTCAGAAGGATATGTCTGTTTTAATCATTTTATAGTCAATGCAATTAGTGTGAGAGAGGGGGATTAATGGGTCCATACAGCAACAGATTTATGGATTATCTGCATGAAGAAGTTATTCGGTTTATATCTTTCAGTCATTCCCAATCAAAACGCCATTTACTGACACCAGGAAGACTTCAGTTCACTTTATTTATGTGGTGCCGATTCACAAAAAAAATGTCATCTTAAGGCACTTTGCAAGGCAGATAGAAGTAGTTCATGTACAGAAGTATGTAATCAAATAAATCCAATGATATGAAGTCACTTACAGGTTTTTCAATTTGGTTTTAGTTCGATAAGCAGTCAAGTTGAGGCAGTTATTGCTTTAAAAATTCCACCTAAGAAAATACCTCGAATTACATCGCAGCAATCCCTCCTCTGGAGCAAGCATGACGCTTTCTGCGGGCAGTCGGTCTCATTCAGTGGTTTGCTTTACAATGGTGAGCATCCATGTGGCAGCAATGGGTAGGAATGGCTCCAGTTTAATGGGAAGAAACCTCCAGCAGAACCAGAACCTGGCTCAGTGTCAGCAGCCAACTGCTGATACCGACTGGGGTTTGAGCCCAAACTATAGAAACACGGGAGCACCAATCCAGGAGTTTCTTCTAAAAAAGGAAAAAGTAAAGGATTAATGGAGGCAGTAGCTCCTTCAGGAACATTCTCATTCGAACACAAGACGAGACAACACTGGTGGTAGATCAGAGACGCCATCTTCCTCCAACTCATCCTGGACAATTCTCCTCACCAGTAGACTCGATTTCTGGAATCCCACTAGAGCATTTTCTTTTACCAACTGCTTTCTAAGAAACAAATTGAGCGGCTCCATCTGGGAGGGAGGGAGGGAAGAAAGGATGGATGGATGGATGGATGGATGGATGGATGGATGGATGGAAGGAATCCACGTTTATTCAGGTCTCACTGTGAAGCTCTACATCATTGTTACCATAGCAGCACGTATTGCTGCAACACATCATCTGGACATGTCACAGTGTTCCTGACGGGTAAAACTTACCCCTTTAGACAAGAACAAAGATGATTAATACCTTCTGTTAACAACAGCAAACATACAGAGAGTCTGGGAGGGAGAAGGAGGGGGCTTAATGGGAGATGGTGGTGGTGGGGGGACATGTTCCCTCCGTCCGTGGTGAACACGGAGAAGCCCCTCCTCGTCCTACCTTCACGCCAGCGCTGCTTGCTGTTCCATCTTCCCACAGGACTTTCTCATCAAACACAGCAAAACATCCCCCACGGGGTTCCCAGGCTGATGTCTTTATCCATCAGGGACATTGTCTTGATTAACACCAGCATGGAGCTTTTAGGGCCTGACGGGAGCTCTTGTTTAAGATTCGACTTTTCGAGAGAAAAGAGGCTGAGGATATCTGGCACGACAACAGACATGAGTCGCGCTCTGCTGCTGGGGATCGTCTGCAGACGCAGCACGAAGACACAAGCTCGGCCTGTTTTCCTCTGTGCCATTAGAAACAGCTTCCATACGCCTTTAATAAGGCCTGCCAATAGATACCAGGCTTTTCTTAGACAAGATTTTTCTATAAATCCATGCAGGATTGATTGTTCAGGCTACAGCATTTAAACTTCTCCTGCAAAGCATTTATTGGACTGTTTTTTTTTTTCATCAATCTCTGAACAAAGCAGCTGCTCAAAAACAGACGGACTGAAAATTCAATACCCACTACGTATAATACACTTTAAAAAAGACAGGCCTCTCATAAGCAGGAAGAAATGGACATGTTAATAAGGCTTGACAGTTTAATATTAAACAGGAATGAAACTCTGTGCTGTTGAAACATACTCTGTAGGACTGTGAACATCTAGAAAGAACGGGACTGTAGCGGTTCTAGAACCTGTTGAGGTTTTTGACTCTTGGACTTGTTCTGATCTCAGAGCTGGTCCCAATCTTCTGCCTCCTGATGCTCTTACAATCAGGACTTTCTGGCCTCAGTTCTGATCTTCTAGCTGCTTTATGCTGACGAAACACCCAGGACCAAAACCTGCTGCAGCATCCTGACCTCAGTCTGAGACAACGGGTCAATAAAGTATTTTGAATTGAATAAACTCTAGCGCTAACTGATGGTCTGCTATTACCAAAGAGAGGAGGAGTCTGCAGCAGTCTGTAGGCTGATCAGATTACTGCCGATTTCTGCTGTTTGTCTTCTCTTCATAGGAAGACAACAGATGTGCAGATTGATGCCAGATTATTTTCAGTTTCAGTATTTAGGTCTGTTTAAGTCTCGCAGCATCATATTTGAGATATGAATATCACAGTTCAGATCTCTGACCTGTAGAATCGCAGCCTGCCAGACATGCTGCCCCCACCTGCCCATCCTGGATCCTCATTATGTTCACCTTCAGCTGGAGCAACATGAACTTCCTCCGGTCCTGTGAGGTGACACTGAACTAATGTCACACCGCGTCTCCTTCAGTCTGAAGGTGCCGCTTTGCTTGTCAGACTTCAGAGCAGAGCTCATTAAAACGCTGCAGCAGGGTGAAGCTCCGCCCCTCGTTGTGACAGGGTGTGATGAGGGGGGGTCTGTCACAGACCTGTGTGGGTGGGTGGGTGGCTGTGGAGCGCCTGTTGGTTCAGGAGTGGAGACATTCGCGCGGCCTCAAGCAACACATCAGAAGACGGAGCAGGACAGGGTGGCCTGCAGCACCGTTTCAAGCGGAGGCTGTTTGATGGAGTCACATGAGCTTCGCTCCTCACATCCCCCAGAATCCCTCTCTGCTCTCCTGCGTATGAAAGGCAAATTAACAACAAAAAAAGGAGAAAATAAAAGAAAGACCCACGCATCTTTTCCTGCGTCTCGCACTTTGTCTCCCCATCCCTTTCTCTTCCCTCTGTTACCAAGGAGAGGGGCTGGCGTCGCCCACTCCCGCTAGGAGGGGGGTGATGCAAAAAGCACTTCAGTCTCCTTTCGCTCCCACTCATGATGGGCTTGGCACGAGAAGAAAGAAAAGTGAAAGCTGTGTGGGGAGAGAGGAGTGTAAGCCCTCCATGTTAGAGATTTACATTGCTACATTAAAAGCCAGGATTGCTGGGGGCCCACGCCTGCCTGGTGGGGTGGGGGAGGTCGCGGAGGGGTCTTTGTGCCAGCTCTGTCTGGGAGAAAATGGCTGTCTCAGCTACTGCCAAGGAAATCACATTTTGTGTCCTCTGTCCCTGGTCCAGGTGTGACAGGTAGCTGTAGTGAGAGTCATCGCTGCTCATTGATGGTCAGTCTGCCAGTTACCCCCCCTCCTCCCCCTGCCCTCCTCCAGTCCATCCATTCTTCTAATTTTGCAGCATGTTGCAGTCTGTTCTCACCTCAAGAAGTCCCAGCAGAGTCTTTAGGAGCCCGTTGTGTTCACACCGTTTTACGATCAACAGGAACTCATCTGTGAAAAGTTTGGCACTGCAGTCCAGCAGTTGGTCAACATGTTCAGGTTGGCCAACTCTAGTCGAAGGTTTTATCAGCAGGAATGTTCCTCCGGGATTCCTGACTGATCCATATGTACGGCTGGGGGTGGCGGTAAATCTCCTACCGTTCCTCTAGGATGTTGTTCTCAGATTGTGTAACCCAACGCTGATCCATGTCTGAGCTTATTGCTGGCTTTTATGACCTGGATCCAACAAACAACGTGAAGTCTTAATGATTGGAGCGTTTGAGAAACTGCTGCCTTTTGTAATATATCGATCCATTACTGCCGATGGGTCACCTTTACTGCTTCCATAGAGGTAAGAGAGAAAGCAGAGAGCCCATGCTGCTAATAATATGGAATTGATTTTCTTGCTGAATCATCAGCGAGTGAGAAGGCCTGAGTAACAGCAGGGATGTGGGCAGTTTGCTGCTTTGGAGCAGCAGTACACTCTGTGTGTGTGTGTGCGTGTGTGTGTGTGTGTTTGTTTGTAATACCTTGTGGGGACCATTTTCCCGACACATACTGCATTGTGGGGACCCACTACTTTTTGTGGGGACTGAAGCCTGGCCTCCACAAGGGGAAACGCTGTTTTTGGGTCAGGGGTCAGGAATAGGGTTAGGATAGGCTGTAGAAATGAATGGAAGTCAGTGGAAAGTCCCCACAAAGATAGCCAAGCAAAAGTGTGTGTGTGTGTGTGTGTGTGTGTGTGTGTGTGTGTGTGTGTGTGTGTGTGTGTGTGTGAACACAATGTCAAGTAGGAGACACATGAGCAGTGATCCTAAAGAAACAACTGTTACTGCCATCAACCAGAGAAGGTTTATTCAATGAACACAGTTCTGAAGAAGGGAAACCTATGAGGTGATTTCTTAACAGCAGGTTGAGAACAGGCAGTGCTCAGAGAAACTAGATCAGACTCTACAGGCCTCAGATGACTGGCTGGGTGTTAGAGTCCTTCCCCCAGCAAATCTACACTAGAGTGGACAGAATTAAAATCTGTGCTGCAGTGGCCTAGTAAAAGTCTAAACCTCAATCTGAATGACGTGTTGATAGTTTAATTTGTCTGCCCATCTAAATGAGCTGCAGCCATGTTTTAAAGAGCAGGCTGGCCCCCGCTGTCCTCCTGATGGGTTCTGAGCCGTTCTGAACTGTTCCACATCCTTCTGAACTGGTTCAACTGTTCCCAACTGGTCTGAACCGTTCCGAACCATTACTATTGTCCCAAACCATTCCCGACTGTTCCTGACCAGTCTGATCCATTCCATACTGCTACCATCGTTCCAAACCATCCCAAACCATTCCCAACTGTTCCCATACATCACTCCGTTTCACTTTGACTCAGCAATCTCTCATCTCTGAGAGAACACCGGCGGATGCAGTGAAAAGTCCAACATGTGGAAGTGCTGTGGATATTTTCCTCTCTGGGGAAAAATCCTCCTGTGGTCATTATTGTAATGAGGTGTTAACATCGTGGCAGGAAAAACGTCTGTCTTCCATCATTAGTAAAGATCCAGAGAATGGTCTAACCCATAAAACCTGACCTTTTCTTTATTAGACAATGGCCTTTGTTGTAAACAACTAAAATAAAACCGTCTCAAATGAACCGTTTTGCGTCTCTAGGGAGCGAATCTTCTGGTAGTTTTTGGTAAAACTGCTCAGACTCGTGTGATTGTGTCCCACAGTCACTCTGAGTTTACGCCGTAAAGTGTTGGTTTGAGTGGCGTCCGGCCTCCCCGGTCCTCCTCCTCCTTTCTGTGCATCTGGTAATGCTTTCAGCTCCTCCTGGCCTGGAAGAGAAGAATGCAGTGTTTGTTTTGGTCCCCTCCCAGAGCGTCTCCTCTCTGCTTCGTGTCCCTCTCCGTTGCTCCGTCTCTCCGCCTTTCAGAAAGTTCCTCCGTGTTCTAAATCCAATTGTTGTCTCGCTGGTTGACCTCCTCCTACCCTCCTACGCTCGCGGCTCTTCACACGAGATCAGACGGAAGAAAAATATTTGCTTCATCAATATTCCGCTCGGCACACTCGAGGAAAGACACTGTAGTGTTTTATTCACTTGTCCCGGTGCTCCGTGTGGGTGGGACGGGCAACCTGTTGGACGCCGCTGGTGGCCCTTAACGGGAGACTCCCACCCACCTGGTGGACCACTCAGCGCACCTTTTGTTTCAACTTCAAAGCCCCCGCCCCCTGCTCAGGGTCTGCAGGGAGAAAGCCTCCCAGCCTTTCTAGCAGGAGGCCTCCTTTTTGGGTTTCGTCTCTCCTTCGACCCCCCCCCCCCAACCCCCCAGCCCACACACAGATGAGTAAACACCCTGTTGCTACAGAACAAGAAAGCAGCAGCGTTGCTAAGGGAGTCCATTTATTTTTACTCTGCTACTCCTCACTCTCTCTTTATGGGGTTCCACTTCATTTACCTGCGATGACGCTTTTGTTGTTAGCAGAAATATTCTCAGAAAAATAAACGAAACAAAAAAAAACAAAAACAAAAAGATTGCTTTTAATTTTGCTGCCTGGGGAGGAAATTCATGGCTTTTTGTTCTGAAGTGAGCTGAAAGAATGGGCCCATTAGGGTGCAGCAGAGCAGGTAGAGGCTCGAACTGCACGCAGATGCTGAGAGACGATAAAGAAGAGCGGCTTGTTCAGGTAACACCTGCGCTGCAAATCAAGCACCATTATGAAGTTCTTGCTGTCAGTTTCAAAACCAGCTTGGCTTCTCCTTTGATTTGGTGAACCCAGAATGTGAATGCAGTTTGTAACAGTGGAATGAAGATCTGACTACGGTTCTATATGCTCCCGACGGGGTGAGCAGCAATGAGGAGAACTCCCCATCATGATGACAAAGAGTCAACGAGCTATTGGGATTGAAGTCATAAACAAAATGTCGAGGTTTGATCGTCAGAGACACGCCGGGCCGATCGGTGGCGCCAGAGATGGACACAGAAAACACAGGACGACACTAGGTCTTTTCACGATAACAAATTTTGCTCGTCGATAAATTGTCCCAGAAGTCATTGCGATAAATGATAACATTGTTGTTTTGAGACCATTTTTAAGTAATGGTAATGGCAAAATAATAATTCAAGAGCACATTCTAAAAGATCAGTAGACTTTATGAGCATTTTGACACTGGAACTGGAAGACATTTTAATTATCCAAAATAAATAAAACAACAAATAAAAATAACTTTGAAGTCTTTGTAAACAAAACTGTCCTTCAGTAGAAGGGATAGTTGACACCAAATCACCAAACTTAAGACTTTTATCATCCAGTTTTTGTTAGAAAGAGAGGAAAAAAAAGATAAACGATAAATCATGTCAATGGAAATCATTGAGCTTGTTTTAATTTATCATGCGATTAACTGGTTTATTGATTATTGTGGCAGGCGTAGACGACAGCGTGTTTGTTGTTTGAGAGAGTGAGGAGCAGGCGGGATAGAGAGAGACGGAGCTATGATGTCATCATGGCTCCATGGAAACATGAAACTGGTTTTCAGAACCCAATCTAAAAAAAATAAAATAAAAAAGGTAGTTTCTAGTGACCAAAGACACCGACTCTGTGTGGATGCAACAGCCTAAATAAAAAAAATAAAAAAACATTTGAGGATGTACCCAATAGCGTCTCCGTGGTGACAGCAGCATGCTGTGGGCTTGCTTGCTTCTAATCAAACCAGGGTTTTGTTAAGGTGGATGAAATTATGAGCAGTTCTAGAAATGTAAAGTTTGACTTCATTTTGCTGCTCCACAGCGAGTCCAGGCATAGAGTCAAATTAACAAAAATGACAAAGGAAGGAAGTTTTAAATGCCCGAGCCAGAGTTCAGAACCGAATTTGATAAAATATCAAACATCTCCTGATATTGAACCTGAGACCTTCTCCCAGTGTGACTGATTTAGTGAACTTTTACAAAGTAGAACAGTAAATATGACCACTTTGGTGAGTTGAATGCTGCCTGCCATAACGCTGCAACAATACATTGGATTTTGTCCCTAGTAGAGTTTTCAGGCAAATCGTTCAGGATAAATATCACATTAAAGGTCAAGAAAGCTTAGAAATTACATTTTATCATTCATATCCCAACAATAAAGCATTTTAACGGGATGCGTAAACTTTTATATCACGGTATGAAAAAAGTTTTTTCTGTAAGACAGGACATATTTCCAATTGCAGGCCAGCAGGTTTTGATGTTCGGATTGGCAGATTAAAATCCAAAGAGAGCCAGCTGATGTGTTTTTACTGGAACAACTCTAACAGGTTTTTTTTCCCCTCCTTCTCCTCCTCAGGGACGTCATCAAGAGAATAGACCAGTCAGAGTTTGAGGGATTTGAATACATCAACCCCCTGCTGCTATCCACAGAGGAGTCTGTATGAAGGAGAGAGCAGCTTCCTCTGTCGCCCACCTTCTGTCTGTCCAAGCTGCTGTCTTAGCCAAAAATAAAACCAACACAAGCCAACAGTGGAAGGCGAGGAGGAGGACGATGAACTCGCTGCACCGGTCATGAAGGCGACACGGGCGGCGAGGGGCGGGGGGACTTTCTCCAGAAGTCCAGGAGAGTTTCCTTCCTGGACTTTTGGATTGTTTTGTGGAGTGGCAGACTCTGCTGTCTGTGTAGTTTGTAAGTGGAAAACAAACCGTGGACTCCGGGAACATTCCCTACCCTTCTGTTCTCCTCTCCTTTTCTTTTTTCAGCTTATTTCCATCCTTGAGTCAAAGCATGACCGGCTTTGTAATTTCAGAGCAGAAGTGTGTCATTCTGTGCCTGCCATCGTGAAGACATTTCAACCCGTCCCAGGATGAAGACCAGAGTTCTGTCCGAGAGCTTCAGATGACTTTAGGTGCACCCGGTCCTCATTTCTGTTTTCCTATCTCGTAGACGAGGCCACGCCTCGGACCAAGCAAGAATGTACAATGACGACGTAAAGAATTGGGTTATTGCGTGTTACGACGTAGGTAACAAATCCAAAATTGATGATGCCTTTTGTTGATGCGACTGGCACATTCTCATTCTCAACCGCAAAATGCTCTCTCTCTTTTTTAATCTTCTCTGATTGTCTCTAACTAAACATGGGACTCTGTCTGAGAGAGTAGTTTTTATTTAAAAAGTGCCTCAAAGATCAAATGAGTTCTGTCTCTGATTGCTCCTCCTGGACATTCTCTGCCCACCGGCTCCAGCCGATCAGTCCAATTCTCCTGTTTTCAGTATTAAAACCTCTCAGCGATTATTGTCTATAAGTTTGCTTGAGCAGAATCGGGACACAGTGAGAGCTTGTTGAGTCTTCAATGTCTGAACAGAGGCCATCCCCAGCATCCCACTTCCTGCTGGACTGAAGCATCCGCACTCGTCTGGTTCTAACTTCCAGAGTGAGACGCCATGCGTCTCCGTCTCCAAACCAAGGTTGGCTTTGCTGGATGTAGTTTCAGCTCAGAGCCTCATGTAGCTGGGCTTTGGATCCACAGTGGACCATAGAAAACCAGCAGAAGGTTTCTAGAGATGAACTTCTGACGGTTTAACCTTGTTGCGTTAGCCGATAGCTGTTTGGTATCAGCCAGACAGTTTGAATTCACAGGTCTCGTTCACCAAACTGGGTAGAATTAAACGAACGATGACCTAAGCTGTTACCAGAAGGTTCTGATTGGATGGAGCAGGAGATGGATGGGTGGAGCCTGCAGTGCTCCCGCCGCTGCTCCGATCTGTTGTGGTGAAGAAAGGCTGAGCCAGAACCTACCATACCCAGCTTCACGCTCTGCCCCGACTCTCGCCACCGTTAGGAGAGACAGATCATGACCAGAATCACAAGATGCCGGATCTGAGCTTCCCCTGCAGGCTGGCTGGGTTCTGCCTTACAGACTGCATCAGCGGTTCTGTCACCCGGATGACTTAAACTGACCAGAACTGGTTGTGGACGTAGAAATGAAACGTCTGGAAATGTGACAGGCTCACTGTGTTCAGTTCCAGAGTCTATATCCTCTGTCTGCATCTGGACCCGAGCTGATCCCTGAAGCTTAGAACCTGTTGAGCCCTGGATGAACGAAGTCAGCTTTCCTGAACATTGAGACCGTATTGATAGATCAGCCTCACTCTGCTCTTCTCTTTGACCTAAACCTTTCACACTCTTCTCAAGATCGGACCTCTAACTCCACCGGCTGTGTGCGGAGTCAGGAGGAAGATAAAACGGATAACTACGTGGCGTTCTGCTGGACACTAGAGGAGAGAATTGGGAAGGTAAACCAAGGCCCAGCTTGGTTGGATCATCTGCATGAGCCGTCTCTTCAACCTTTGATTCCTGTGTGATGTAAATGCATCAGTCTGTGCAACAGGCCTTTGGTTTCTTGTGAAGGTCCTTCTGCCTGAGTCCAATGCTCAGAAGGTTTCTAGTTAAAGCAGGGATCGCACCATTGATCTAGTTGGACAGGGGTGCTGCTGCTGGAAGACGTGTCGGTTCTACACCGAGCCATCCTCAGTCCAGAGCCCAGCCTCCTCATGCAGCTCAGCCGCGGCGCTCACTTTGCTGTTTGAAGGTAATCCGGGTTCTAGCTGATCCACTTACTGCCACTCACACAGCTGACATTTCTGGAAGCAGGAGCTTTGAGCTGGGATCACAACATTGACAATATGTCACATTTTCAGGTTCAGATGTTTTGTTTTCCTCGCGTTGCAAGTATTTCCTTTGAACATAAAAAGCGCAGACTGCTACCTTGAGACGGATAATGAATGATTCTTCTGTTGAAGAAAAACAACTGGAGTGGCTAATGCATTTAGTACATTTTTATACATGATCTACTGAGTTGGGCATTTAAGTTTGAGCTTTTTTTTTTTTTTTTTAATACAGAAAAGTCTGGAAACACCCAGGTTCTTCCATCGTCTTTCGCCAGACTTCTCCTGGAGCAGTACTGTTGTGTTCAGGAACCCCGTAATGATCTGTGAATATCAGCTCTGAGGATGGAGGTCGATCTCCTCGGGGGGGTTAGAGGAGCTCTCTGTGGGCCAGGAATTACGAGATGAACTGTGACCTGTGCTAATTTGATAATGACATAATAGGATTAATTAGCTCGCCTTGACTCCGAATCTTAATAATCTGCAGGGTGGGATCGGATAGATAGCGAAGTGCTTCGGTTTCCACCAACATGCTGGTGGAGATCAGAGGAAGCCTCCCCGATAAACTCCACCCGTTTCGCTGCATGTTCTAAACGATTTTGTTGAGCTTTTTGTACATCAGATAACATGTTTTCTGAGGGACCAATGGATGAACTGGAAGTCCTTGAATCCAAACGTCAGAACACTTTAAAGAATGACTGAAAAATGAATGAAATAAGACCACGATTTTTATTAAATATAATGCTGGGTCAATCTGCTTACCGTTGCTTCACCACATCCTTGTAAATATGTGTAATTATTAAAATGATACTGGTTTTCCGTGACCTGGCTCCATCCTTGTTTGATTTGCAGGGAAATGAAGCTCCAGTCATCAAAGCTCGTCACCGCTCTCTACGTTCACACAGCGAGGGAAGGACCTTCTTAGATCATCCTCTGATTTTCTTTCTTTGATGCAGAGAAAAGGAAATTTTCATCTGTCTACTAGAATATTAATGAATCTGCATCTCCACATGATTGGGTCAGCTTAGTCCAAATCAGTTCAAAATGTAGGCCTGAATGTTTCTTTTTAATAGTTTGTATGTTTTCAGGGTGCCAAGAAACAAAAAAAAAATATCACACACAATTCTTCCAATCTGCATCTTTTCCACATAAATGCTGCCATAACTTGCATATTTTTACAGTAACAAGAAACCTGAAAGCCAACATAGGCGTACAAAGAATATCCCAAGGCTTAATGTAGGCCACGTTTATGTTCCTCTACTGGGACAAATTAAGTAGCATTTATACAGTTGTGTTCAAAATAATTTATTTCTCAAATAATTTTGAAAGCAGAAACCTGAAAAGGCCATGCTGCCTTATGCACAAGAGCCTCTATGTGAGAATTAAACCAACAGCATCATATAAAACTTTTCCACATCATTTGCTTGAGTTTTCAGGGGTTTTTTCAGTTCCTACACCTAAAAGAATCATTCAGTTCATTTATTTAGCACCAATTCACAACAAATTTCTTCTCAAGACACTTTACAAATGTTATTTTAATTCATTCACAATTGATCTTGGTTATCAAATGATGCTTTTAGCTCAGCTTGTTATTCAGATTAGTGGAAAAACCCAGCAGAGCATCGACTTACGGTTTTCTCTCCTGGACGTAGCGGCAGTAGACAATTGCTTGCATCGAGTCGATGAATTAACAGCGTACACCATGTATATGTGTGTGTGTGTGTATATATATATATATATATATATATATATAGCAACAGCACAGAGGAAAACTCCCCTTTAACAGGAAGGAACCTCCAGAATGTGGCTCAGAGGTTTGAGAAGTCGGAACAGAAATCCAGACAACACCAAGAACTGATGTAGGAATAAAGATCAGACAGAAATGCAGCCGAGCCTGAATTATTAGCTTGATGGTCGTTTAATAAATTCAATTTAATTTCATTGTTGTACCTCATTAATTCAAATGCATGTTTAAGGTCACAACATCTTAACTGGATGAAAGTCACAAACTGACAGCTGGAGATTCTATTTCATGCTTTCTGATGCAGATCTGAATTCATGGGTTGAGGCATGATGTAACGCCTCTTACTGGCTTTTGGCCTACTTCATGTTGTCAAAAAGGTTTTAAGTGATTAGTTGATACCACAGGTCAAGCAGAAATTGAGTCTAGATATGGCCAGTAAACCTGAAACAGGAGAATTTATCACACTGATGTCTGACAAAGAATATTTTGTTTTCCAGTTGATACATCTGTTTAGCATTTGAATAGCATTTATGAAAGGACATAACAGGAATAAGGCAGTTCAAAGTGCTTTACACTATAAAATCATGCAACAGCAGCCATTTATAAAATAAAAAGCACTTTATCAAGTGCCATCAACCTCATTCCTCCACTAAGTATACGGGTTTTAGCCTTGATTTAAAGGAGCTCAGTGTATAGCTTGGCATTTTATATTTCAGTTTGACGAACAGCTCTCGTTCAAATGCAAGAATAACAAATCCAAATCAGTCCAGTTCCTCCCCGTTCAGATCCAGTTACACACACTCCGGTTCAATCACGAGTGTAAAGTAGGACAATCAAACTCAATCACAACACAGAGTGGTTAAAAAAAAAATAAAAAATAGTCAGCCTGGCTGATTGCATCAAGGAAGTCCTCCTGAGCAAGCATGCGGTGCCGCTTCCTAAAGCCACGATGGCAGGACTTGATCCTGTTGTTTGGAATGGCTTCCTGCATGTTCCAGTTCAGTAATGGTTCCCAGCAGCAGCGCTGAGCTTTGACCACTTGTTCTCCGTGTGAGGCAGATGATCTGATTAAAAAAAAAAAAAAAAAAGCACCTTGCAGAGTCAATTTGCCAGTTGATGAGGGATCACCAAGTAAAACTCGCCCACATTTCCTTCACATAAAAGTTCACCGTGAAGTATGTCACACACGAACACAAACCATGTTGGTATGAAAGCGCTTTCCAATTACCCAGCTAATTACCTTGATTAACAGGAAGAGGGTGATCGCTGTGAACTCAACCTCAGGATCACAGCACAGCCGAATCACTTCTTTACAGATAATCTGACTTCATTTTACCCTGCGGTGTACATTTCCATATCAATGAATTTTAAAATATTTTCAGGAAACACACTTTCTTCACCATGTTCAAATAAATGATGCAAATAATGATTTACTGCATCAAATCAATCGGACCAACACAAGTCCTAAGCCTTTTGTACATGACAAATAATAAACGTGGTGTATATAAAGTTGTTGACGCGTTATATTGATGCAACAGTGTGGAGCAGCTTCTATGTACAATGGAAGGACAATTACAATTATTAGAGAAATGTGACAAAAACAAATTATCACTAAATTATGGCAAAAGAAAATTTGTACAATTTAGCAACAAGCAAATAAAGAGACAATGTTAAACAGCATAGGAATAGAAAATACAAACTCATATTGACCATGTAAAAGGTAAAATGTCAAAAACTATTGCAATAGTAAATATTTCCATACATAAGTTACTGTATAGAGACCTGGGGAAACTTATGAAATGAGCAGAAAACCTTTCTACATGCTTCAGAAGAAATTTCTTGCATTGCATGCTTCAATGAAAATATGCAGAGCTTACAACATTCCAACATGTATGCAGATGTGGCTCAAAATTAAAGAAACAGATCAGGAATTAGAAAGATTTGTTTAACCCGTCATGAGGACGATTGTTTCCTCATCCACCCCATTGACTTGCAAAGTGTTTTTGACATGACAGTTAAGGGGTTAAAAAAAACAACAACAAAAAAAACAAGTCTGGCTATGGTTCAAACATTTCAAGAAATGGTTGAACCTCACAAAATATTTGTTTTTGCCTTTGACAGGAATTTAAATATTGTTTATTTCTATTAGATTTGTCTTTTTTTTTCTTTTATCATTTTCAATATTTAATATACATAGCACATTTATTTTTCATAAGGCGAACCCAAAGATATCCAGAAAATATTCTGTGGAACGATGAGACAAAAGTTTAATTTCTTGGGAGGCGATGGTCATATCATCTTAATGGTGGTCGTGCAGTAGGAGCCTGAACTCACCGTTCATCCTGAAAAAAAATCCTCCAACGTGGCTTAAATCAAACATTCATATTCAACTGTGGATTAGGACAAACGATGCCGATTCTTACAGAAATCCACTCCAAGGTCCAACTGAACCGTCGCTGATGGAGGTGAAAGTATAAACAGGCTACAAGGACTGAAAAATTCTTCAAAAATCATGGTAACGTCCTTTAAACAGAGTGGGTTTAAAGGATGTTACCATGGTGACAAAACCATCCCAACACTGGAAGCTGACCCTCTGCTTATATGTGCATCCAATTTTGTTTTTAAGAACATATTCCACCCTGAGCCATGCAACAGCAGCTGAACATGTTGTGTCATAGACATTATAACAATGTTGTTACTGAGTGAAAATTGGAAAAATGCATTTATAAGACTGCAATTACAGGTTCAAGAACAAAAATCACATCTTTTAAATTTCTCTTTTAAAAAACGATTTTTTTAAAATGGAGGCGTAAAACTGAGGTTGAAAATCTCCAGTTTTACAGATCTGACATGTGGAACACGAATTTATCCAATAATAGAACAAGAGCCTCATCTCCTTGGCTTTACAGGCCAATCAGATACAGGCGCTGAGCCTGAAGGACTTTTCAGCTGCTTTCCCTGAGCTCGGATTTCAATGCAGATAATTATGTTTCCTGAAACGGCTCTAAGTGGGTCAAAAAGCTGAAAGGTGCGGCTAAGGCCAACGTTTCTTTTCCAAAAGTCCTTTAGAGAAGAACAAACGGCTACACTCAGCAGCTGTCTGAACCACAAGGAGCAAGTTTTCCACCGTCCCCCATCAGAATCTCAGTTCAATTCAAAGCCCTCCAACTTTCCCCCAGCTCTGACCCTGAGTGTTGAGTCTGCGTCAGTGGAGTAAATAACCTGACCACGCCCTCTTCCAGCTGACCGGGTCCTGGAGTGTGTCAGGGCATCTGGCTGCCTGAAGCCCCGGGACGGCCGCCAGCTTCCTGTCGCCTCACCAGGTCATGTCCACGCTCAGCTCAGAGAGACACTGGGCCAGGTGGCCGTCCCGCTCCATCTGCGTGAACCTGGAGGGCCAGAAAGCATCACACTCAGAGGGACGAGATCACCAGGAAGCTGCTCACTAAGAGGAAAATAACACATTTTATCCTGCAATACTTTTTCAAAAAAAAAAAAAAAAAAAAAAAACTCTAGACACTTTACAGGAACCTAATGAAATAAGAACTGAACACTTGGGTACATAACGCAGGACATTAATCACACGCTGTTGGAAACAGGTGAGTATCTGAGTTGTGATGAGTGTGACGGGTCTGCGCGGACGCGGATGTGTCGGCGTATTCTGTGTCCGCTGTGACCGAATCGGTGTCAGACAGGATTTCTATCAGTATTTGGAGCAGGACCCATCAGCACCAGCTGGGGATGCTAAAAGGACACATGGTGACCGTAAACAGAGCCACTAACATCAGTCACTACCCAATCAGAATTTACTACGCGAGTCCTAATCAAACCCTGAAGGGACGTGATGGACAGTGAGCTCAAGTAGTTTCTAACGACCGTCTTTCAGCGTGAGCAGACCGAGCGCCCCTTTGACGTCCGTCGTTCCTATTAGGGCTGTAGTGACACAATAATCTCACGATACGATACACAAACGATACAATTCAATACACTTTGCGATTTTCTGAAAGAGTTTAGGGGGACAGAGTGATTTTGGTGACATTTTGTGACCGTTATAGAGTTGGATTGAATTAATTTAACTGAAAACTGATTAAAAGCACCAACTACACAATACCTGGCTCTGGTTGGACATGGACACAGACTTAAAGTCGACAGCTGGACAAAATGAATCAAAGAAGTGGTGAGAAAACATGTTCCTTTTAATTGAAACAGTACAAACTGCAGCTTACATGCATTTGTAAAGTAAATAAAGTGCACCAAGTACCCTGCTCTGAATAGTTTGATACCTTTTTAACCTTGACACCTGAAGGAATCGCTCTAAGCCTGATGACCTAATCAAGCGAAGTAAGCAGTGAGTGAGCAAGGTGATGTTGGATGTTACGATACTTGTGGATGAATATCGATTTTTTTCTAGGAAAGAAAATATCGATATATATCGCAAAATCAATATTATTACACAGCCCTAGTTCCTAGAAGGCTTTAGTTGGAACAAGTCATGCAACGCGACAACATGAGACATCTCATCAATAATGAATCCTTGCAGCATAGTTCAACTCAATAAATGAAGAACAATTAATTTCACAGGCTTAGATGGAAATGTAATTTTACTTTATGGGAGTACTCTCAGGATTTGAGTTATTAATATTACCAGAGCCAGAAAAATTATGCGTGCACAAATAATGAGGCGTGTTCACCACCCCCAACAGGATGACTCACGCTCCAATCATGAGCAGCGTCTTCATCATCAACAGGATGTTTCACACACACTAGCTTGTTGTCAGACCACAATGTCTGACTTTTACTTTGAATTTACTTCTATAAATCCACTGACAGCTAAAATCTACTAGTTATTTAAAAGCAGAGTTTGCCTCTGAACTTTGGCTGCTGCTGGACTTCCTGTTTCCTCGCCATGCGTCATCCCGTTTCATCCGGCTCGCCCAGACCGAAAACTCTCATCTGGTTTTTCTCTCAGGACTTGAGCCAACAGGTTTCCCACACACAGCGGATTTTTACTGGTAAGAGTGAGCCTGAACTAAACGCCAGCACCGTCACTCAGTGGTGCACTGCACTGTTAGTTTTCATCCCGCGTAGTCAGCTTGTGTGTGAACGCAGCAGGCAAAGGCGACGTCACATGAACTGGCGAGAGACAGAAATCCACTGGTGACTTTGCAGCTTCACCATTCCCAACTGGTGGTCAGCTGATCCAATGTCAGATCTTTTTCCGATCACTTCAAATTTCAATTCAAATAAATGTATTTGTCCCGTGCAGCAATTCAAAGACGCATAAGTAATACAAGTGATGGCTCAGACAACAACAGAAGACAAAAAATTCACACATACTAATAAATCTATTAGTATTATAAACATATTTGTGATGTAATATTGTTGTTCTACCAGGTTGGGCCGACATCATCCGTTATGTTGTTACTACTAGACAAAAATATTCCTCTTTCTGGATACGCCAACAAGATTTTTCATCCTCCTCTTATCCACAGAGACCCTAGATTAGGGCACAAAGTTGCAAATATTTTGGCCAAACTTGGAGAAACTGTAAACGTGTCACTTTACAGAATCTAACCACATTCAGACATAAAGCAAACACGTTTGTGCTGAGTAGGCGACTGTCGTTATTTCGCCGGGTATTTTCCAGAGCTGCCCTCTGCCACTCGTGAGGACTAACGGGAAAGAACGTTACCGTTTCACTTTAGTGTGAGAAGAAGAGAGAAAGTGAGTGATGAGCAGCTCTTACCCAGAAGGGAACACATGAAGGCACATGGGGCAGCTCTGCAGAGCTCCTTCTTCATGTTTGCTAGCGCTCTGCTCCTCCTCCTCGCCTCCTGGAGAAACCGATGGGTTGGAAACCTTCAGCGACTCGGCTAGAAGCCGTCCGCTCCACTGTTCTTGTTCTCCTCCGATCCTCGGCTCTCCTGCTGAAGACGGAGCCGCCTTCTCCCAATTTTGAATCCTGCTGAGGGCTCTGGGAGGTTCAGCTCGCTGTTCAGGACTCTGTCTGCTGTCAGATGGCGGCCCTTTGTCAGATGTCTTTCCAGAAGGCCTGGTCTGGACTGGGGAAATCTCCTGGGGAGAAGATGCTCTCTGACGGTCTGGGTCTGATGGAAGCCCCGGGGTGAGTGGGCCGTCTTCTGGAAAGGGAGGAGCATCACTGAAGAGATCATACGTCCACTGCTCCTCTACCTTTGGTGTGGCAGGTCTCTAAATGGAATACAAAATAAAATAAAAAAACAAGTCTTATTAGGTCTACAAAATTTAAGACAATCCATCTATTGCTGTCATCATTCAGGCAAACACACCAAAAACGATCATCCTGTCCTGAGACCACTGCGTCTCGACTGTTTTCATGAAGCGGTCACTCAGGAGACCTCAGCCAATCAGACCACAGAAACTGTATGGTTGAAACGCAAACCAGTGACAAAGCAATTAATCTGCTTTCCAGGTCTTATAGTTCTGAGTCACAGGTTGTTGTTTACAACGAGCTGCACTGAAATATGTGAATAGAGGGAGTGGAGTTCAATTGGCAGTAATGACTGATTTGCTGAGATGTGTTTGTGAACAAACAGAGCTCAAACATAAAGATTAAACCCACAGCAGGGGCGTCTTCTAGAGGAAACCCAGTGTAGAAAACACTCCTGGATCACTTCTCTTTCTTTTTTTTTTTTGTGCATCTGCTCTGTCTTCTCAAAGCCCCTGTTGGTTTTGACAGACAGCTGGTCCTACTGAGCCCGGTCGGTTCTGGATCTGCTGGAGGTTACGTCCTGTTAAAGAAGTGGAGTTTTTCCCTCTCCACTGTCGCTACATGCATTCTCAGTATGAGGGATTGCTGCAAAGTCAACAAGACGACACAAGCCGATGTCTACTGTTGCAGTCAATGACCTGCTGGGCTTCCTTAGATAGAAAACCTGATGCACTGTCTGACAGAGGATCAGAAGAAATGCATGTGATCGAATGATGCTTCCAGATGACATTTGTTGTGAATTGGTGCTATAGAAACAACCTGAACCGACGTGAACCAGTCCATGTCTGATTTTGGACTTTTAACGCAACATACTGATGAATATTTTTGAAGCCGGTTGTATTCTCCGCAGGAGCAGCTTTTGGGTAACTTACCGCAGCAGGAGGAAGGGGAAGATCAGGAACCGGGTCCCAGAGCTGGTTCTGCAGGTGCGGCAGAGCAGACATCAGTGTGAACGCCCACAGGCTCTCCACAGCGGGGGGCTGCGACATGTTCCACCACGCTGCTGCTGCTGCAGGCGGCCGACACCTGAAAGCAGCTCACACACTCTGTTCCTCAGCATTACTGAGCTAACTGAGCTTTTTCTGCATCAAGCCCGACGAATTCTTTCAAACACTTTTAACAAGTATATATGAGATACACTTCAACAGATTTTTGAAGTTATACGAGAAAGAAAAAAAAAAGTACTATAATTTTAATTTGTTGTCTTCCCCGTTATAAAAATGATTTCCAATGCATTTTTAATCTAGGCATTAAATTATTTATGAGGCTCCTCTTTGATCTGGTGCTCTGTGACTCCTTTTGTAAAATAAAAGAATAAAAAAAGCGCAAGAGAGAGAGAGATGCTGAATATCTTCTGAATACATTAAGAGTAGACGCTGAAATCTGGCTGCTTTGCAGAAACAGAAGCGGGATTGAGCCAGGCCGAGGTGACACACTGCCACTGAATCAAACTTCAAAAACATAACGCCGCATTTTAGACTGACACATTTCCGCCTTGCAAGCTTTCTGCGTTGTAAAAAGGTCAAAGTAAATCATTCTGTCAGACAGCATCTTGTAAGGTATTCATTCATTGTTGCCCATTAATGGCATAAAACAGCAGCCAACTGGCCACCATGAATGACTTTTTCCTCCAAACAGCCAAACTGTCATTAGTCATTTCAAATGCTTTTGATCAACAGTTTTCTAGACTGAGCAGCCAAATTAATTGGAAAGAAGAACATGAAATATTTTTCATTTTTTATTAATCATTTAGCAATGGGTTGAGCTATTCTATCCACAACATGCAAAGACTTATTTCCTGTATTGTAAAGATACTGTACCTTAGCGTGGTTTTTTTCTCCACTTGGCAAACCGACCCTCATTGAAGGTTTATTATGACAGATTACAATGCACCCACCCCTCAACAATAAATAAATAAGAATAATTAAAAAAAAAAACTCTTGGCATATTAATCTGCTTTAGAAATTACTAATGTTGATTTAACATTATGGATTGGTATCCCGATAAAAGAAAGGATGTAGAGATGCAGCTTAAAACATGACAGAGAAAATAACTCGAAGCTTCTGTTGCTGTATTTCTGTTGGATTTTGACCAGAGCATTTCTCTGATACTTAACATGTCAGGAAACCATATATCCTTCCTTACAGAGTGAACCTGAATGCGACATGGATTAAAACCCATCCGGAATAAGCAGTCAGCAGTGCGGTGAGTCAGAAGAGTGGGAACGGAACATGTTCTGGTTCCGGAGCATGCTGTAAACACCTGAGACGTTTAGTTCGCCTTGGAAGTTGTTCCTCCTGAATGTCCAGACGCCACAAAGAGCCTGACTGACCTGTCAGGATGTGCTGCTCCGTCTCTGGACAGCGGAGCTGCGCCGCTCCTCTCCGCTGTTCCTAGGGAACCGAGTCCAGACTTCGGCTCCTCCGCTGAACTCCTCTTCCGTTTCAGTTTAGACTTTGAGCCGTTTTCAGCCATCTCGTTTCATTACTTCTTGGTTTCCGCGCAGAACTTTGAGACGGGCTTTTCCGGTGTTATACGTGCAACGTCATTTAACAGTATCCAATCAGAAGCTTCAGTAGGTTGTCATTAGAGATGGTCTGTCCAATCAGGTGAAAGTAAAACAATTACGGAGAGGCAGGCTGGAAGTGAACCTACTGATGATGAAGGTAGGCCGGGGCAGCGCTTCAGTCGCCTCTTATTTCCTAAAAACTGATTGCTGACTTGTCATCTGCTTTGTTTAACTCTAAATGAACTGACAATGTGTAACAGTAAATGTGCCGGGCGGATCTGGCACATTTATTAACCATCATCTCATCTTAAATGTGAACAAAACATCCCAGGCACGTGCAGAAGAAATAGGCATAGGGGGCTTGAGCCTCTGCCCCCTTTATCCTTAATGGCCCAAGTGCATTAAGGATATATTTTTTTTCAATAATAAAAAAAAAATATGTGACGTGCGGTGAGGTTCTTTGCTGGTGAGACACTGACTTATGACTTAGACACCATGCATGTTATTGGATGTTATTAGACATACGCAAATTTCACGCAGGCATACAACGCTGGGGGGCAAAAAGACTAATCTTTTACATGTCATCCATAGCCGCGTTAACTCAGTGAAACTTGGAAATGTAGGCATTGATTTCGTGCTATGATCCACAGCAAAGTGATCTGTATTCGTCAAGCTACGCAGACTCGTTGCCATAGCAACTGACAACAATGCCACTTCATGTTTTAGGATTTAACACCAAAAAACATTCGAGAATTTTGCACACAGAACAGAACATTTAGTCTGTTGTAGTATGTTTTAGGCTTAATGTTTAATTAATAAATAATTGCTGTGGTAGATTAGCTACCGCTTCTACTTTACTGAATTATTTAGACATAAACTGTAGCCCCCAAACGCACATTTCATTAAAAAAGTAAACAAAAACATCTTATTGCTGTCTTACCTTTACGTATCAATGAAATCCATGCACCGCTAATTCTGCACAAAAATATCCGTTCATCTAAAGCCAAGTCTATCCTCGGCATGTCTTTTCTACTCCGTTTGAGAATCATCAAACTGTCTCGAAGCAAAACTTTCAGCTCCGGTGTTGGTCTTCCTTTAGTTATTATCTCCTGTTTCAATTGAAAATCCACTTTAGAAAACTGTTTAAGTGTAGAAATGTAGACTTTCATGTTGACGTCAGAAGAGAGGAGAAAACAAATATATCGCTGTACTTTACTTATTTACTGTATGGCTAGCTCCATGGCTAGCGCACTGTGTCTTCCTCTGCAGTTGTGGAGTCACAATATCTGGGATCATGAGCGCCCCCTGCCATGAGGCAAGAGAACTGCCTGCCTCACCTCAAGTCTGTTCTCTGCCGTTTCTGATCGCTCCTCCGCACAAAACACAATACACACACAGTTGGTGACAAAAAACACTGTACATTATATACATAAGCGAAATTATGGAAAATCAGTCCATATATTCAATGGTTTTTAGCCATTTTATTGCCGGCGTACAGACAGGAGGAACATGCTCCCATAGAATGGCAGACAGTGCAGTTAGCGAGAGGTTGCGCAATCCCAGGTGAGGCTCAGCTCGCTGCTGCCTCACCGGCTTCGCTTCTGAGCATTTGAATAGGAAAATGCGAAAATCCAGCGATTTTGAAGAAAAAATCATCATAATTGGTTAAGGTAAGTAAAAAATAGATACTTTATAGTACAAACCACAGGGTGAAAATAGCAATATAGTTTTTATTATATATTATTTTTCCATGATGACAGGTGAGGCTCACCTGCCTCCCCTGACCGCACGTGTCTCTGCTTCAACACACCTGAGTCGAATAATGAGGTTGAAGAGGTAATGCAGATATTTGATTGAAGCACATTGAACCAAGGACACATCTTCAAGGGCTGGATTTGAAGACCTGCCTGCACCCAGAATTGGAAAAAGTTCAAATCTTATTCATTTATCTTCCTTTAACCATTGTAATCAGATGTTATTCTTCACCTTAGCATGCCAGTGACACCAGAGGAACTGAAGAAAGCTGGACTCTGAGTTTCAGAAAACGGAATAGTGTTGCTCAGCATGTAAACTAAACTTTGCAATGGTAATGCAATCAATGAAAGGATTTGTGATTTGGTTGTGCCTTAAAGCATGAAACAACAGGATAAGCAGCGTTCTCTGTTCCACAGTTTGATTGTACAGTATCATTTAATCCCTGACTCTTACTTTTAATGCTCTAACAAAATTATGTCAGTCCTGCAGAAGGATTTCTACTTAGCGCAAAGCACAGCAGGTTACATCATACAAGTATGCTAACTGTTATGATGGGGCTTTGTTCCCTCTGCAAGGACACACGTAAAGTGGAAAGTTGAAGTCATAGTGTTGGTGGGACTTTCTGAGTCTTTTAAGCTTTTGGCCAGAGGGACGACCAACGGAGAGCAGCTGTAATTATGCAATGGAAAAAAAGACAAGGGAAAGCTGGAGTGAAAGGAAGGAAAAGAGAACATCATAGAAATGAAAGAAGAGGGTGTGTGGGGGGGGTTAGGGGGATAATGTGTACAAATCTTGAATTATGTTTATGGTTACTAGTCCTTCCTTTTCTGAACTTCTGCACCACAACATGAGGACTGCTGCGAGACGTTTTCTGAACTGACCATGTTACACAATCTTTCTTTTTGTGTCACACTGGGGAAAAAACACAAAAGCAGAGGACTGGGCCAGGGTTGTGGTCTGCAGCGCTACACTGGGAAAAATCCTGCTGGCACCTGGAAAGAATCGTTACATCACAAGCTGCAAGTGATGCTGTGTTGTCCCCTGCTGTCATGGAGACCAGGGAAGTGAAGATGCCTCTGCAGAAATTGCAAACGTACCTGCTGAATGCAGAGGAAAGAGAAAAAAGACACAGCTCCATTTGTCTTTTGACAGAAAACCGATGCATAACAACCAAAATTAGATCTGCAGCCTCACAAAGATGCCGTCTGTTTGTTTTTTTGTTTAGTCAATACTTTAAAAAAAGACCTAACATCACAAAATTTGACAGACAGAAGCTAGGATTTTAGCACCAATGAAATGATTCAAAGTGGTGACATTAAGGTGAAAACTATAATAACACACCTTGAACTTCCCCACATTTTTTGCACAGTAAGAATAACAAATGGGACACTGATACATAGTTTTAAAATGTCTGCAAAAATGAAGAGAAATGTAAAAATAAAAAGTTGCAGTAGCCTGGTTGCATAAGCTGCACACCCTTTTAAATACTTCTATTTATGTTTCAGTGTTCAGTCTTCTGAATTCCACACCTTACCGTCCGTTGATGAGAATTTGATAAACCTTAAATAAAGTCCAACGGATCTTGTGCAATTTTCCTTATATTTGCTAGTTTAACTAGAGCCACATTTTGCAGAGCTTTGAAAACAGCAAATGGATATGATAGGTACACAGTTATCCATTAGGGGAAGATTACAACTAAAGCATTTCACTATGGTACACTAAAGACTGTCACAAATAATTGGACAAGTTATCAGACAACAGCGACAAGACAGACATTGTGTCATGTTTGAGTATGAGATTTTCAAGCAGTCAACAATAACGGACACAAATAGGAAGTTTTGAAATATTTATTGGAACGATGAGTCTTTTTTTTGGACATGAAGAGAAAGTGAGTGGTTGTTAATATCATTAAGGTAAGTTTTATCTGGAGACGCTGTCTTAGGCTCCTTACTAGAAGCTGGTAAGAAAAGTGTTAAGATTGATGATGGTATAGATGGACCAGAGTGCAGACACAAACTCGGAAATATCATAGAACACACAACAAAGATTATGGAAATACTCACGAAATGAATAAACTGCAGGAAAACAAGATTTTCACATAGGTGGTAATGGATTAATCACGAAAATGATAAGGGAACCAGAGGAGCTAATCAGAGAGAAGTTGGCGCAGCTGTGAAAAGAGCAGGTGGAGGTGAAGGATGCAGGCTGACAGACTGAGGGAAGGTGAAAGGTAAGCAGAGATACTAACACTGGAAACGAATGGCACAAGAGTGCAATGGGACGAGTCAGATGAAGTCTACAATGTAGGATCATAAACGACTGTTGGAGAAAGGCCAGTGGGGTCGATAAGACCTTTTATTCTGGTGCAGGTGGTACAGGCTGAGGCATGAAATGTCTTTAAAAAGTTATTTTAGCAGTTCTATTTCATGAGGAATTTTGGCCATATCATCACCAAATGACCAAGGAAATCAGTCAAACACACATGCAGACCAGAATAAGAAATCCCCACACTTACCAATTGTTCTAGAAAAGTGCTCTAAAGTGAAGAAGATGGCAACCAGGAAGACGAGAGAAGGATGAGACCTGAAAAGGGAATGGATTTGAGACTGAGGCTTGAGGATTGGATATTTGAATGTATTTTATGTAACCGTTGGATTAGGTGAGAGAGAACACTAATCCGACCTGCTCACAGTCCTGCCGACATGACGGGCCAATGAAAAGATGAGCGAGGCTCCCAGGGGACCGAGCGCAAGACTGAAGGAGCTGCAGGTCGTGTTCTGCATGTGGCAAAAGTCTCGTCTGTCCTCCATTCCTCATAATGTCTGGGCATTATGGGGTTAATATGACAGCAGCTTAAAAAAAATCTGAAAAGAAATATTGACACTAAGGCAAAATATTGTCATGAAAAACATAATTGTACTGAAAATTTGATTTGAAATAAATGTACTGAAAAATTTAGTATTGAAAGCGAGCCTAAATTGAACTTGAATTAAAACAAATAATTCCACATAATTTGTTTAAACTGTCAATATGATCCAAATCAACTTATAAAAACTACAAATACAATTTGAAAGGTTTTTACAAAATAATGAACAAAGGGATACATGACAGTATTTAGTCAATTCAATCCATTCAAATTGATTCAGTGATTTACATAAATCCCAGTTATAGTTGCAGAAACTCTCAGATTTAGTTTATTAAGTCAGTGGTGAAAAGGTTTAGTCAAAAACATTAACATAATGTCTTTGCAGCAATCCCTCATGTAGCGACAGTAGAAAGGAAAACTACCCTTTCACAGGAAGAAACCTCCAGCAGAACCAGAACCTGACTCAGTGTAAGCAACCATCTGCCACAGCTGATGTGGGTTTGAGAAGACAGAGCATCCACACAAACAAACACAAACACAGACACACTGATCCAGGAACACTTTCTATGTTAATAAAGAAACTGTAAAAAGTTAATGGCAGCAGCTCTTCAGTGGCCTCAGCTGGGAGAGAAACACAGCTAAACAAACAAGCTCTGAGGCTGTAGTAAAATCTATGGG